GAGCACAGGAAGGAGGTGAAGAGCGTGCAGGATTGTGGACAAATAGAGATCCACGTAACGGACAATGATTCGGGGAGACATGCTAGACAGGAAGGGGAGATGGGATGTGAAGAGGATGTGCGAGCAGCAGAGGAGGAGCCGTCTGTATCAGATTCATGTCATACGGACTCTCGTGTCCTCACCAGCGTCTCCAGTGACACTCTCGATGGCCTGGAGGAAGATGACTTGATATCATGCTCCTCTTCCTCTATCCACGCCAGTGCTGCTTCACAAAGTCACGCCAGTGTCCACTCTTCGTTTCACCTTCACCCTTATTCTCATGGGCACGTACAGCCTCACCTGCTTGCCCCACCACCTGCGCACTCCCATCCCCTGATTCACCTCACAACTCCTGACAGAGGAGGAGGAGGGGCCTGCAGGAGATCAGGCGATGGAGCCGATCCCCAGCTCACCTCACCCGTCTCCACTTCTTCTCAGAGCCTTGCTGATGCCCAAAGATCTTCAGGTAACCTCTGCACCGATGACAGCTCCCTGTGTTTCGCGGAGCTCTCCCGCCTCGTGGACTTCCTGCCGAGCCCTCCAGAGGCCAGCGAGGAAGACGACGACGAAGAAGAGTTGAGGAGGAGGAGGAATGCGTTAAAAGAAACAGATGGGGGAAGAGAGGGAGGAAGTGTAAGCAAGGAAGGTGGTTTTAAAGAAGATTCGTCATCGCCTTCCCCGTCTTCAAACGCAGACTTTGTGTTTAACTTTGTCCAGAGCGACGCACGCTGCTACTACAACATCTGCTCCAACATCACCCCCGACAGCGCACGCAGCCTTTCTCATAAACAGAGAGAAGAGAGGGAGGAGGAGACTCAAGATGAAGACCTGGAGCCAATACCCATCCTGCACCCGCCCCCTGGCTTTGGAGACAGCAGCTCTGATGAGGAGTTCTTTGACGCCAGGGATCGTTTCACCTCACCTGAAGACCTGACATCAGGCGCTGTACCAAGAGGTGATTTACTTTTCACTGTGAGGCTGATCTCAAGAATTTTCAAGTCTTGTATATTGATCAGAAATAAAGGTTGTAAATTCTGCTCTGTTGCCATCTAGTGGCTGAAGTGGTTACTCCCTAAAAGAGTTAGAATATTTACTGGATTACTGAAAATGTTACATAATTGCCAGAACATGTTACATAATTGCCACACCTAACAATAATGGTAGATGTGGTCTACTGATCCTGATGACACTCTAATGCAAGAAAAAAACTGCCATTTCCTTTACTGCATCAGTCCAGGTGGGATAGAAGTACAGTCTAACTACATCTGAGGGCTTTTATGATATGCCTCAAATAAATATTTCCAAAGTCCACTACAGTACTTCATACCGTTATTCTACTACATTTAAGGGGTTATGTTCTTACGGATTACTTTCCAAAGGCAAAGAATTACAGGGGATTATTATTGGAAAATAGTACCAAAGTGAATATAATCTTCTATAGCTGCATGTTTTCTCCACACCCCATTAATATTCGGAAGACAACTCGTGT